TCTGACCATTTGTTTTTTTTTTTTTGCATGAATTCTTCCCGGCGAGACAGTTTTCGACTTGTTTTTACTCGAAAGTCTTTTATGTAAAATTATATTGATACTTGTTGCAATTCTTGTGATGGGTTTTCTTTTGTTGTTGGAGGACAGCGAAGTGACAGAAAAATCTAAAAAATAGAAGAATTATTTTAAGAAATATATATCAAATTTTCAAGACCTTTTCAATCATATTCATATACTTTTGAAATTACACATACACAAATGTTACTGTTGTCCACAGACATACGCGTCCTGGGTATAATGATAAACTAAATCCGGCGGCAAGGCATCTAAACAGGAGACTGGAGGTTTTGAGGAGCGTGGAACAACCTTTTAACTGGTGTTGTTCACTGGTCAACCATGACACGAGGTGGTAGCACGTGTTAGGGTCCCAGCTATGGGCAAATAATGACCTCCCCCCACAAAAAAAAACAATATATTTTTTATAATAAAATGAGCAACAATACATTTTTTAGCAAAATAACACTAAAAAATATAAAAATATATTTTTATATTAAAATTGCCAATTTTTATAGTAAAATTACCAACAATAAATTTTATAAACTGCAAACTATATATCTAAAAAAAAAACATACCTTTACCCTGTAAGTATAAAATTCTGTACAGAATATCTGTAGTTGAAAGCATAACATTACGAGCAAAATATTTAGTTTTCGGCATTAAATAACCCATATGGCGCTAAACAAAATCAACCAACCAATGAATAAAAACACGAATTGATATCGGAAAATTACCGGACTGTAAATGCACTTTGATTGTACCATTCAACAGAAATGCGGGTGTAGTTAATGCTAATCGGTACTCCACCCAGTGAATCAGTCTACCCATTGACTTCATGCTACCAACTATTACAAATTTAATTATTAATTATTTTAAAAACTTGTGTTTGGTTTTGTAATCTTTTCGAACAGCATGCTTGCATCAAATTTAGCTTGACGCTCGACAGATTCGCTATCGATACTCGAAATGTTTCATCAGGGTTTGAGCAAACATTCTTTAGGCCAGATACAAGTTTTTAAGTGGCCCGTTCGTTTCAAGGCCGATCGAGGGTTGGTTCAAGATGATGAGCGTTCATGGCTACTAATCACCAGCAAAATGTCAGAAAATGTGGGGAAAATTCGTTAACTGATTTATGAGCACCGTCGCCGAATAATACCTTGTCGCTTTCACTTGACTGCAACCAGTTATGGAGTCTGCCAGGAGATCCGAGACTAGGAACTTTCCGATACCACATTCTACAATATTCTGTAGCATAAAAATTATTTATTTGACTTATGCTGACGTACTTGAGAAGGGAATAATATTGAAAACTCCCTTATTTACACAGAAATGGTATTGTATATCATTTTTAAATGGTGCAGACATCATGGTTAGCTCGATTTCTTGTATATTAGTGGTCATATTTGATGACCACTAATACAAGAACTCGAACTACAAAAATAGGCAGTTGTCTATAGCCTTACAAAAATAGACAGTTGTCTATTGTTGTGGAGTGATTTCACTGTGGAGGCTTGTATTTGTACTAAGTCGGTCCTAAAATAGGTTCGACGTACGAAACGTTAGGAACTTGATATAATATGTATTACTCAGAGTAATCTGGTCGTGGTCGTTGATACTTTCGTATTCGACTAACTGTCGTCCGACATCGACTCACTGACTCACCGACCGACCGACTGACTCGTTACTCTTACTACTACTACTACTACTTATATCAGGTGGGATGGTCTATTAACTATATAATAGGTGTGTTTCCCTCTAACATCTATAACCTTACAAAAATAGACAATTGTCTATAGCCTTACAAAAATACACAGTTGTCTATAGCCTTACACAAATAGACAGTTGTCTATTTTTTGTAAGGCTAACATTTACGATACCTAAGAGCATAGATATTCACATAAGCAGGTAAGATATTATATATATATATATATATATATATATATATATATATATATATATATATATATATAAACATAGATCAAATGTAGGAAACTAGAAGGAGGAGATTGCGTTGCGTCAATCATGTAAGTAGGGAATGGCTACCAAGAACACCATCTGAATAATTTTGATATTTTATCTGACCGCCGAAACTTATTTGAGTACTAGTTAGGTACATGTGATTTTGGTGATGACAAGATGGTGAAATTTCAAATCTAAATTGTCTATTTAAAATGCTACATTTTCTTTTTAAGCATTTCACCCCAAGCAAGGCGGGAAGCCACTAGGACGAATTTTTGAGAGAAGTACAAGTAGGTACAAAGTACAGATGGTTTTATTGGGGTGCGGAAAAACCGCGAAGTATGGTTTTTGTCAAAGTATTTTCCAAACAAATCAGCTTATTCAAATTTCATCGATTAGTTTTCGAAATTTAACGAAACGTAGAGTTTGTAAATCTCGACAAAAAATGTCAACTTCAACAATACTAAATATTGTGAGGATTTCAACGCGCATTAGCGTATTGACAAAAAATTCTAGTCTAATAAAATGAAACAATTGTTTTGGATATCAACGTTAAGAATAATAGTCGTTGTCAAGAATTTATTGAGACATTTTTTAAAGTGTTATTACCTTTCAGGAAATGGGCGATCATAGCGCTCCACATATTCCTTTTATTTAATCTTTGAACTGCTATGACTTTTTGTGAAAGATAGTTGAGTTTGTTATCTGTTGTCTTCTGCATTGTTTTGAATTCAGGATTGTTCTTCTCTTAGAGAAGCACAATCTACCCCTGCTAAATTGGAGGGAGGGAGAAGAAATAGATTCATGTCTTTCCCAAGGATAAGCAGTGAAAAATGAACGCAACAAACTGAGCTGGAATTTGAACTTGGCTCGCCGATTCTATTTTCAGTGATGATAACCATTAACTAACCCGCACATAGTAATATATACATTAAATATGTGATTGTTTTTTTGCTTATAGTTTAATATGTTCTGTAGTTAATATATATATATATATATTTACTTTTAACAACCGTACCATTTGACTTGACCTTTGGCATAACATATTCTCGGATGAACATAAACTTAATCACAGGGCTGACCAAATTGCCCACAGCATTAAACAAGAAAGATGTGAAAGAACTCCGTTTGAAGGTGTAATGCGTAGTTTTTTTTTTTTTTATTGTTACTGAATGTTATAGAAGTTTTTTTTTTACTTCAATTGCATATCTAGTGTTTTACTTCGTCTATTGTTAGTAAATAGGGTGGTATATTGTCTTATTTATTGTTACTCAATGGCATTATTGGTGCTTTCAATCTTAAAATAACCATTTGTAGATCGCCATAGCGCATTGGCAAATACTGTGTGTATTATGCAGATTTTAGTTAGCGGCTCGTATTGAGGAATCGGAGAGCCGAGTTCGAATTCCAGTCGAATCCACTCATTCACTTACGTGCTAACACCCTTGGGAAAGGTATGAATCTGCTTCTTCTCCTAGCTATGGGTAAATAGCAGGACAGACCGGGTTCTATAGCCGTGGATGGCAACCAGTTTACCGCAGAAAGAAATGGCAATCTATTGTGGGAAAAATCTACCTCGAAAGATACATGATCGCCTAAGCGTGCATCACGCATGGCACATAACTAACTAAGTAGGTACAATTAAAAGATCCGTGTGAATTAAGGTATGATGGATATATAAAACTAGGAGACAAATTGTTCTTGTGTACGGGACTATAAGAAAACGGGCGAGGGTATACACTGATATTTATTGTTATCGATGAACTAATCGCTATATTTATTCTGGCTTAATAAACTCTAATTTTGTTAAAATACGCTTGTGTATAGCGAAAGGTTAGTTTTTATGAAGTACGGTTTTATGTGAATAGTTACTTTGTTTTACATAGGTGTGTGTGTGCGCGTGTGTGTTGGGGGTGTAGGTGTGCGTGTGGGCTGAGCAAATAACAATCAGTCTTGAGGTCGCCGAATCAAAGACGAGAGGAAGTTTGAAGATTGTGATTTCTGCGTCATTGTCAATAAAGACTCACAAGTCGAACCTCTCTCTCTCTTTCTCACAGGCGGGAAAATACTTAAACGAACTATATTCTTTGTTTCGCTAGTTCTAACCATCACGACCAGGACCCACCATGCCACTGCCATTGTGGCAAACCACCCACATTCCCTTTGTGTTTCAATGGTGAGAAATAAGTTCTACTCGAACAGCTTCTTCCTGGGAACCAATGCTCTGTGGAACAGATTCTCAAGAGGATTTTGCCCCGATTACTTAACCTGTTCAAGTCTCGGGTTAACCGTTATCTTCCTCTCCTATCGGCATAAACTGCGTCTTAATGTAACCCTCTCCCTCGAGTGGCCCCGGGGCCTTGTACAAGATGAACCTTACTTTATATAGCTGGCCACTCGTATTCGAGGATACCCGTCTAATAGGGCGGCTAGCAAATCCCTATTGCAGACGCTTGTTCAGACACATTTTGTTTATTCAACACCCTCAGACCCCACCTGTGGTTATACTGCAATTATGCTGACCAGACCTTAGTTACAGTTTCTGGGAAAGAGCGTGTTATCTAGCGTGATCAACAGTTTGAACAATGCCAGCGCTTACTGTAATATATATATATATATATATATATATATATATATATATGTGTGTGTGTGTATGTATGTATGTATGTAAATGTGTGTGTGTGTGTAAACGTACACGAACACGGATACACACACGTCCGAAAGAGAATTGAAAATAAAAAGAAGAAAAGGATTGACTGGTTGGAAGATTAATAAGTGAGTAAATCATAAAAATATGTGTGTCTCTATGCGCATGTGTGTTTGCCTGTATGAGTATGTATGTGAGTGCGCATGTGCTTGTATAGTGATTTTCCAAGCATAGATGCGGCACAGGGCCGAAAGTATGGGCCACCCAGTAAGGATCGAACTCACTTCTCAGTTGTAATTGGTCTAGCGAGACAAGCTTGCTATCATTACACCGCTACGATGTGTCCGTGCATGTGGTTGCATATGTGTGAGAGACATATTGAAAAAGAGAAAGTAAAAGAAATAAATTCGGGACAAAATAGGGAGCATTAATAAAATGCATGTGTGTATTTGTGTGTATGTGTTTGTGTGCGTGAGAGAAAGATAGAGTGAGAAATAAAGCGAATAAGAAAAAGAACGAATAAGGAGAGAGTCATGGAGGACCGATGAAATTGTGGGAAATGCATTAACAGGAAGAAAGAGAGATGAAAGAAAACAAAGAAAATTACAATAATCAATTGAAGGAGAAAGAAAATAAAAAAGTGAAGGAGAAAAAGAAAAATAACAAAAATGAGACTTTAAGAAAAAAAAAAGAGAGAAATAATGTTTGTAAGATGGAAGAATCGTTTCAGAAAGCGAGGAAGAAAAAAGAGGAAGAAAAAATAAGAAAGACATAAATAAAAATGTAATAGAGAAGGAGAAGTACGAGTGAAAGAAAGAGACAAAAATAAAGAAAGAAAAATAAAGAGCGAAAAGAAAGAAGCAGTTAAAGATTTCAGTAATAATTACAGTGAGCGGTGAGGATAATCGGACAAAGAAAAGAGGCGACTTTTTAAAAGCCCTTAACGCCAGCTTAAAAGATAATCCTTGTCCATTTGAATTCGCAGCAACAACCCACCCATATTTACTCTGACAATCGATCCAGTATGACTGTCTAGCCCAAGAGAAATTTATCACATGGGTTCGGTTCGATATAAAAACAGAAACAAAAAAAAAAAAAGGAAAACCTTAAACCCAAATAAAAAAAAAGTTAATTTAATAAATAGAAAAAAAAATGTGACAAATAGAAGCATTAAATAAATCCATGCAGTGTTGCTTTTCAGTCGTTCCTAGATACACAGTCACATATAAACATATATATATATATATATATATATATATATATATATATATATATATATATATATATATATATATATATATATACCAGAGAGTTCACGAATTTATACCCGTTTTCTGACGTTTTCCGTTTATCATTGTTCTGTACACCCATCATTACTCAACTGACCTTATTTCATAATTGCCACTGTGTTCGGCGTAAATAAAGTCCACCAAAATTCTGACGAAGCATTTTGAGTCGATAGCAGATTTGTGAAGCTTTACGAAAATATTGAAGACACATTGTCCGAATTTGTCAGCCATCGTAAAGATCACAGAACCGTTCCAACAAAACCTTACAAAAACTCACTAAACTGAACACGTGTAGATAGCACGTAAACTAGCAATGGGTAATTAGTTGCACACCATATTTCTTTCGTATATTTTAATCATGGAACATACAGTCTTCTAACTGTCCCGATATCACCTCGATATATTCTCATTGAAACTTCCACTCTGAAAAGATAAAATTATTCAAATTTCTAATAGAGATGCAGGTGTGTGGCAGGATGAAGTCAAGATGAATGGCGGTGAAAGCACCTAGTCTCTTAGAGTTCAGACTGATACCTGTCAAAAGAAATGAGACAAATAGTTGAAACCATTTTGTTTAGATTTCTCTCTAAATGAACAAGTTAACTCATCTGTAATATAAAAGAGCATACAAACAGGAAATGGTTTTTTACAGGTCGGATTTAGCTGTTAATTAACTTGCAGTTTTAAATCCCTCGACATAATCTTCCGAATGATCTTGTTTTTCTAAATCATAGCAAATTGATTCGTGTGAAATGAGTCAAGGTAAAAAGAACATCCTATTATAACCGTGCTTTGTTCCTGCCTTCGTTAATTTTCACGATCGTTACGCCATGCCAATACCCCATAAATAATGAACTATTCCGTTTTGATCGTGTGGAAAGAGAGGAAAATACACTATTTGGTTTCAGTGAGAAAATGAAGGGAAGACAGAAGAGTAGACAGTAGGAAAGACAGAAGCGATTAATTTCTCCTGCCAATACTTCATAAATAATAGACTATTCCATTTTGATTACGTGGATAAACAAAACACATATCAGAGACGCTACTGGTTTTCAGTGAGAAAATGAGTGAAAGAAAGAAAGAAGGGAAAATAGAAGTGTTTAGTGGTTGTTTCAGTAAAATGGAAAAGTTGTTAAATTCAAATCTTTTCATTTGTACCCACTTCTTAAAATAATGACCAGCATTCATATTTATGATTGTTATTGCAATATTTTGTTAAAGTTCTTAAGCTCAAATATTTAATAATGTCATAGGGGAATTTCTACGAATTTTTTATTGTCATAGAACACGCCAAAGGCGTATTCAGCCATTAACTTAAGAATTAAAATTCATTAGAAAATTCAAATAGGAAAACCTTGAAAATTTTCCAGGGTCTTTCTAGTTTAAATAATTTCTGCAGACATTCTAATTCTCTATGCGGAACAATTACAGGGAAAAAAAATGATTGTCTTTGTCATGGTTTTTTTTCTGATCAAAGCATAGGTTCCGAGTAAAACGAGCGAATATTATATTCCATCTAATCCACAGATGTATTTATAACTAGAAAAAAGATATACTGTAACAAGAATTCCTCCCACTCCAAGTAAAATGCTATAAAATATAGGAAAAAATAAATGATGACCAGAAATAAAATCAATATACAATATTGTTCAGATTCTGTAAGCCGATATTAAAAGTTTGGAGTTTCTAGTTCGCACCGTAGGCATTCTGTTACAAAGTAAATCATCATTTTTTTTTTTGTCTACGCAGCTGACATACACCCGCATAAAACTACCCACATAGATGCAGTCGAGGTTGACAAACCTCCCTGATTTAAATTTCGTGTTCTTTGTGAACATTTTCAGTTTTTTATTCTTCGTGCTTTTAGAACGGTACGAAGTTTTTCATCCCCATAGAGGCAAATTTTTTATTTTATTTAGGCCCATGACACTCTTTCATTTTTTTTTTATAGGGACAGTGGTGAGACAAGGGTCATTGTTGACACTTTTCTTCCATTGAGATAATATTTTAATCCCAAGATGTCAGAGGACATTCGAGTAAAAAAAGGAATGTGAGGAAGAAAAAAATCGCTTTAAACATAATTCTCTCTCTCTCTCGTTCTCTCACTCTCTCTCTCTCGTTCTCTCACTCTCTCACTCTCACTCTCTCTCTTTCTCTCACTCTCTGACTCTCTCTCTCTCTCTCTCTCACACACACACACACACACACACACACACACACACACACACACACACACACACACACACAATACAATACAAAGTGTAATCCAAAATTTTCTTCCGACCAACATCCCAATATTCGTTAAGTTTTCGCAGATTCTACAAATTCCAGTTTTACATTATGGAGTTTCGCAGATTCTACGAATTCCAGTTTTACATTATGGAGTTTCGCAGATTCCACGCGTTACGAAAATAAAAGTTTATTACTTTTGTAATTTCATCGTCGTAAAGACTAAAAAGAACATGAAACTAAACCTCGTAAATTTACTGTTTATTCATCTCCAGACATCATCGCCATTTAATATTAGTGCAAGAGTGTGCGTAGCTTTGGGAGCTTTCTTCGAACATGGATCTTATTCTCGAGAGTATGTAAGAAATTCTGTGTTTTTCCTCTCTTTGCTGGCCGATTGTATATTTTACTGTCATCCAGTTACCCCACGTGTGCACATCCTAAGCGCAACTGAGTTAACCAACTGCTTGCATGTGGGGGACAGCTTACATCTGTGTGGCGCGATTCTGTTCCTGCTGGCTATGTAGACACCATCCAGATTACCTCTTTGATGCACTTAGTTTCTCTGATGTTCTTGTGTGACACTGTATGCAAAGTCTACTGTAGTATTTCTTTAGAGCCCAATACATATTGAGGTTACCAAAAGTAAATTTTTTTCTAGGCATAAATGTATTTTATTAACATTAAATTCGATTGACACCATTTGGTATTTTCTACACTTATCTTACTTATTATAAAACGCAGATTGTGTGTGTGTGTGTGTGTTTGGTGTGTGTGTGTGTGTGTGTGTGTGTATGTAACGTTTATATATTGGATCGGATTTCCTACATTTTTCAACCGATTTCAACAAAACTTCACAGGACTACATAAAATTACCTTGTGGTGGTTCTAACAGCGCCAAAAATTGGAAAAATACAATTGTTTTTGCACAAAATCAATTTGAAAACACGATTAAGAGATATCGTGAGAATGAAAGGGGGACAACTCACATCGGGTTAAAAACACAGGTTGTTTGTGTGTGTGTGTGTGTTCCTTTATATATGGGATCGGATTTCCTACATTTTTCAGCCGATAAAACAAAAATTCACTTTTTTTTTTGGCAGGTAGTGTTTCTTATTCTCTTGCACACTTTTTTCTTTATTTTTAATATTTAGAATGCTTTAAAAATTCCATTTACAAGTCAATTGTTTATAATAAAATTTTATTCAATCGGTAGACTCATAATGATTGAAAACAATGTTTTTGTTTGAGTTTGGGTTTGACCAATTCGTAAAAAAAAAAAAAAACTAATTAAGACATGCGTGTCCGTCAACCTTAAACAATAATCTTTGTCAATTTTATTTTTCAGTCTTTATGATGGTGGATACTTGATTTATCTCTTACTGTTATATCCCCGGGCAACGCCGGGCTCTACTGCTAGTTTCAAATAAAGTTTATGACTGGTAGTAAGATTGTTACCGAAAGAATACTTTAAATTTACATTATTTTCATGCAGACTATTGTTGAGGACAACAACCCATATGTAAATAGTATAAATAATGATAACCCCTCATTCCAGAAATTGAAATTTCTTCTACGTTACGGAAAATAACAGAATAGCGTGTACAGTGGATACGGTATATAAAAAATAAGCAACGTTTCATTCTAACGAGGGGGTTAATAATTTTATGAGGGTTCTCACCAAATCCTGAAATTAAATCTGTGCCGTTCTAATTTTGACCCTTTAAACTAAAAATTCCATTGATGCGTGCGCCGCTAACCTTGCAGGTATATACGTACCTGTTGTATATTGAAATCCGACGTATGTTGCCAGTGATTATTTCGTGACCACTAATAAAATCATACGAAAAATGTCACACGAAAAAGTCACAATTTTATGTTAGGCAAAAAGCAACATGAAAAAAAATCACAATTAATTTATGGTGGCCAGTAATAAAGTCACAGGAAAAAGTCACAGAAAATTTACTTAAGTAACGTAAACAAAATGATAAAGCAGAAAATATTTTAAATCATTATTATATTATTTCAATCATTATTATCTGGCAATACATCATTTGTACATATTGACAACACTATTTATTCAGTATCTGTCTATATTTCATACACAGATGCCCTCAAGGACACATAGCAAAGTGGATAAAGGCGTTAGTTAGATCCAGTGACAGAACCCAAAGAGTGTGAGTTCAATACCTGGTTAAGGCGGTGGAGAACTTGGAGAAGGGAATTAACAGGAAATAACTGACAACAGACATCCATTAGACATGGCACGTGGAACTAGGACAGTATAACCCAGCGAGCGAAATAAAGGGTTCAGTTCGACATTCCAACCACCTGAAGAAGTCTGGAGCGTACAACGGCCGAAACTGTCCGCTGACTTGAGATGGAACAAACACATTGAATCAATTGCTTCATCTACCGCAAGAAAGGTTGCTTCTATGTGTCGTACCAGAAAGTTTTTTCTCGCCTGAGTCCATCCTTCAAATCTATAAATCAACCATTCGCCCTTGCCTGGAATACTGCTACCATATATGGTCTGGAGCCCTTGCTGTTCGTCTCAATGTCCTTGACAAAATCCAGAGACGGATATGCAATGTGGTTGGTCCTGGTTTGGCATCTCGTCTACAGCCACTTTATCACAGAGGTGCTGTCGCTTCCCTCTGTCTTTTCTTTCACGGTAACTGTTCCGACGAGCTACTTTCGCTAGTTCCCAAACTGCATGAATTTAAGCGTGCTACTAGGTTGGCATCTCAGTTCCACCCTTTCACTGTCGAAACGGTTAAATGTAGCCGCTTCTTCTACTCCAATAGCTTCATGTCTCGCACTTCCCGCGTGTGGGACTCCTTTCCTCTTACT